TACATATATAAAAATATATGCATATTAAAATAAATCTACAACAAAAAACATCCACGATAATACCTAATAGAATAGCCAAAATCGTTCGGATATATAGAACACTGGAACATTTACAGCAAAGAACACAGTTATAGAAATGCAAGAAAAATTGAATAAAATCCTTTATATATACAGGAATATACACTATTTATATTCTTCGGACTGCTGTCCTCATCTTTGTTGCCATATTTATCACAAAGTTTCGGCCATTGTACGCTCAGGTGTTTGGAATATCGAATTGAACCCTTTAATTCGCTCTCCGAGGTATACTGATCTAGTTCCACGTGCCATGTCTAATGGATGTCAGCTATCAGTTATCTCTTGTTAATTCCCCTATCCAATTTCTTCACTGCCTTAACCGGGTAATTAACTCACAATTCTTTGGGACCTGTTACTGGATGAAACCAACACCTCTATCCACTGTTCCGTGTGTCCTTAAGACGTTGAGATAAATATGGCAACAAAGATGAGGACAATAATCCGAATAATGTAAATAGTGTACATAATACCTCATCTCAGAAATATAGACAGATAATATTGGAATGTATTTTTTAATTTATTTATCCGACATATTTTAATTTATTTCTTAAACGTTATTTTTAATGGATACCTATATCTGAGTTAATGTTCTCTGAATATTTATTTGTTAAACAGTATGTCCATTTATTTCCGTCTACCAGCCTGAATATTCGAGAAATTGGGATAGTAAAATATCCGCCCTCCAGTAGGATTCGAAACTGTGTTCACTAATGAAACAGTCATTAATTATCACGTACCTTGACCTCTCCACCACGAACAACCTCTTGGCCAAAGAAGACCCGAATAGTGCATTTTGAGCAAAGATATTTCCGATTCTCGAAATATACATATGGGTTACGTTTCGTATCCTAGCGTAAACAAAAACAATTGGACAAGTGGCATCCATCCACTATTTTTCTTTAAAAATTCTTTGAGCTCTTTCTATCGTAACCTTTTTCCGTACCAATCTATACCACGGCTTTTGTATTGACCCGGATTGGTTCCATTTCCTTGGAATTTCAAGACGATTTCGGAAATGCCATTTCTTGAAGTTCTGATTCTTTAACTATTTCACAATCTCTATACCGTATCCGGATGACAAAACAGGTACAAAGTGGTAAATCCTACAATACTATTAAAAACAGGTAAGGACAGGTATTTGTCGAGCGCTTTGGTCGATAACGCCCTGAGAGGCGAATGAAGTAAGAAGTGCAGCTTTCTAACTTAGATTATATTCGTTTTAATCTCTTTAGTTATAATTATTTTCTCTGAAATATAAGCATTTCTTGGCAGGTGAGTTCATTCCTGCTACTGTTATAAAGTACTAAATGCATGCTTAATTTGTAGATGAGATTGATGTCGTCTGTTAATTCTTTTGCTTGTACGTACATATAAAATCCACAACTCTACATACAGAATTTCCTCGGCCAATGGACCTTTAAAAATCAATAATACATCTTTTCTGTTTACGATATTTTCAAGTTACCAAAACCCTACTCACTACCTCCCTCGTCTCTCAAAAATCTATAACGCCTCCTCATTCGAGACAAGCTCGCACAATTGTGAGGACAAAAGGATTACTGGAAGGCGGGTTACAAATGATCAGGATGTAACTGATTCCTTTTCCAGTGAATTCTGCTTCTGTTAACTTACGATATTCTGTTAACTGACAACTTGATTCGTATCATCCCAATATTTTAAACGTTCTTTTCTGTGTTCATTGTTGCAAGGATATATCCGTTTTTATGCATCTAATTCTCCTCACTATATAACATTTCTTTCTGTATAATTCGTCTCTTAGTTGCAACGGATTTTACAGGTTACTTTCTGATTTACCCCCACTTCGAAGATTTATTGTAATCTCTAACATTTTAGAGGATATAAAAAGCAACGGTTTTATTTTGTGCTTGCATATTTTCCTTTGATTATACATTTCTAATATCGTCAATCAAATTCTCTGTCTGTCTGTCTCTCCCTCTCTCTCTCTCTCTCTATCTCTCTCACTATATATATATATATATATATATATATATATATATATATATATATATATATATATATAATTTAAATAAAACAGACCACTTTAAGGTTCCATGTTTACCCATACGGATTACCTAGTTTTCATGAACTAAATACATACATACACACACACATATATATATATATATATATATATATATATATATATATATATATATATATATATATATATATATATATCTGTGTCAGTTCTTAAAATTATGTGCATATGTGTCTTTTCAATTATCTATCAATCAACTTATTTATCTACGCCCATTCATTATCTATCTACGCACATTCATGATCTATCTATCTAGCTAGCTAGCTAGCTAGCTATTTATCTAAGCACATTCATGTTCTATCTATTTATCTCTCTACGCCCATTCATTATCTATCTATCTATCTATCTATCTATCTATCTATC